AAGTTCAGGATGAGTATGTAATATCATTAGCATCATTTTTTATTTTAAAAAAGGTGTGTTGATTAGTGTACTGGCCATGGTGCATCTTTTAAGTTTGAGATCAAGTTCATACACTTCCAAAAGAAACTCATGGTTCAACTGCTAAATGATGTCCAGATTTATTATCTTATGAATCCGGTATTGATAAAGTGACTATACATCTGATGTTAGTGTGATTAGCTAGTAGTCTAAAGTAGTTCAAGCTAATGTCACTGTTATTAATGGTGTGTCAGTAAATTAAAGTCCATAATATGATTATTTATGCATACTTGATTTTCAGAATTTAATATAGTGATTTATTATTTGTGGATTTGAAGAGATTGACTTCAGTTAGGGCCTTAGCATATTAAAGGCCTTCCTGTTAAAATTGTTGGGCCTGGTGTTAGCCCAAAATGAGACAGCCCGGTCGAAATCAGACCTGGCAAGGTCTCTGAGGTCTTTTTCCCATTTCTGGGCTCTATTTCGAGCCCAAGCAACATCAGCGTTATTGTTCTTTAAAGAGTTTTTTTATTAAATAACATAATGGGCTTGCTGCTGGGCCCATCTTTCCAGAATAGTTAAAAGCACACAATCTTTCCAATGCTATATATACAATTCGTGGCCTTATCACAAACTTCAAATCGTTTTAAGAAGTGAATATGAACCTTCGTAGTTTTCTTTAGGCGCGCTATAATAAATCATCATAGATACGGGTACGGTTTCCGTGACGTAGTTGTGTCCATATCTGGGTGTACATTTCATGTGATACGACCACAATATCTAACAATTTTAATAAAATAAACATGTCGCGAACCACGGGTGCATTTCATGTAGCATGGTTTACGATATTTTCCAAAACAAACAAGTGTACGACAATCGTAACTTGTTCTAGAAATAATTCCATAAATAATTAAAAGCGGTTAGAAAGTTAAAAATGCACAATAGGTTCTAAACCTGTACTAAATTAGATAATTAGGCCAATTAATAATAGTTGAGCGACCGTGTTAGAACCACGAAACCCGGGAATGCCTAACACCTTCTCCCGAGTTAACAAAATTCCTTACCCGGATTTCTGTGTTTTGTGGACTGTAAAATAGAGTCAAACTTCCTCGATTCGGGATTTTAAACCGGTGACTTGGGACACCATAAACTATCCCAAGTGGCGACTCTAAATTTGAATAAATAATCTTGTTTCGGTTATTGTCACTTTAATTGAAATAACTGGCGGTGAAGAAGGATTTGCACATGGTGTTCATTGACCTAGAGAAGGCCTATGACAAAGTCCCCAGAGAGGTTCTATGGAGATGTTTGGAGGCTAGAGGAGTGCCTGTAGCGTATATTAGAATGATTCAGGACATGTATAATGGAGCTAAGACACGGGTTAGGACAGCAGGTGGAGACTCGGATTACTTTCCGGTTGAGATGGGGTTGCATCAGGGATCAGCACTTAGCCCGTTTTTGTTTTCCCTGGTGATGGATTCTTTGACACGTCACATTCAGGGGGAGGCGCCTTGGTGCTTGCTATTTGTGGATGACATAGTCCTGATTGATGAGACACGAGGTGGCGTTAACGAGAGGCTGGAGGTCTGGAGACATACCCTGGAGTCTAAGGGTTTCAAGTTGAGCAGGACCAAGACAGAATACTTGGAGTGCAAGTTCAGCGGTGTTACCCTGGAGGCGGACGGTGATATGAAACTCGAAACGCAAGTCATTTCCAAGAGAGAGAGTTTCAAGTATCTGGGATCTATAATTCAGAATGATGGGGAGATAGATGAGGATGTCACACACCGTATCGGAGCATGGTGGATGAAGTGGAAGCTCGCTTCCGGTGTCTTGTGTGATAAGAATGTGTCGTTGTGACTTAAAGGTAAGTTCTACAAGGTAGTTGTTAGACTGACTATGTTGTATGGGGCAGAGTGTTGGCCAGTCAAAACCTCTCATGTCCAGCAGATGAGGGTAGCGGAAATGAGGATGTTGAGATGGATGTGTGGGCATACTAGGTTGGATAGAATTAGGAATGAAGTTATTCGAGACAAGGTGGGAGTGGCCCCTGTGGAGGAAAAGATGCGTGAGGCAAGGTTGAGGTGGTTCGGGCATGTTAAGAGGAGAAGCGCAGATGCCCTGGTCAGGAGATGTGAGAGGTTGGCCTTAGGAGGTGTGAGGAGGGGTAGAGGTATGCCAAAGAAGTCTTGGGGAGAGGTGATCAGGCGGGACATGGCGATACTTGAGCTAACCGAGGACATTACTCTAGATAGAAGGGTGTGGAGGTTGAAGATTAGGGTAGAAGGTTAGTAGGTAGTCCTGCATCTCCCTTTGTCTTCTCTAGCTCGATAGTATTAGCGCTAGTTCGGTACCCTTTTTTTCCTTAGTTTTCTATATTCGCGTGTCTCGTTTCGTTGTTACTTGCCATTGGTAATTTCGTGGTTTGCTAGCAGTACTTCGTTCATATTCTCGTCTGCTGCCTTGGAATTAGTTTTCTAAATATGTTATCTTGCTGCTACTTGTTATCAGTACCCCTTTCATATTATCTGTTGCTATCTCCGATTTAGTTTTCTAATTATTGTTTTGCTATTACTTGCTACCAGGGCTTCTCTCACCTTCTTTAGCCGAGGGTCTATCGGAAACAGTCTCTCTGCCCTTCCAGGGTAGGGGTAAGGCTGCGTACATCCTACCCTCCCCAGACCTAACTTGTGGGACCACACTGGGCTGCTGTTGTAATCATAAAAATAATGGTCGATTTAATAGCAAATTTATAAAAGAACTATAGTACTTTATTTTTATATTTTAATAAAATTACTTAAATTATAATTTACTTAGAACTTAAATTAATGGCACTAGGTGAAAAAAAAAATGGTAAAAAACAAATTTTGCATTGTAAGTTTTCATACTTTCCGAAAAAGAAATTAATTTTTTTGGTTTAGAAACTTCCATAATGAAAAACCTTTTTCCCATATAACATAGGAAATGGTTAATTTGCCTATGTATATATAATGCCCCTCGTTAGTGTCTTTAGTACCCATAATACCTATAATTTCTTTCGTCCAACGTAGAGCTTAGGGCTTTTACTTCTTCGACGTCAATAGTTATACGTTCTCTTTAGGGTTCATAGTTATACGTTCTCTTTAGGGTTCATGGCGTTGCTTTGTCGTTCTCAGCCAAAAGTTTTTGGCCAAGTCAAATATAAATTGGCTTGTTGCAAGAAGAGGAACATCTCGAATACCGCCAACGATATGATTGATGTTATGCATTAATCGAGGATACACGACAGAAGGAATTGTTCTATTTCCAAGCTTCACCTTCAAAACGCATAGATTTTTTTCAAAATTTTTCTCGAATCACGTGTTTTTCTCCTCGTAAGACTGAAGTGGGAAAAGGCTATCAAGGAATTGCGGGTTGCAGCATTGAATAACGTGGGTGGCTCTAGGGTAAGGCCATTAAAGCTTTTGCTTTAGGCCCCCAAAACTTTTTTTATTAGTTATAATTATTTATACTAGTAAGATTTTTTTAAGTTCACAAAATATTAACATTTTGTTCCAATGCCCTACATTGGTTCTAGTTATCAAATATTTTATTAGTAGATATAAATATTTAAATAATTTAACAAAAAATTTTAAAATATTAGATAATGTTATACTATGGAATACTAAAGAAAACGAACCTTGAAAGAAAATTTATTAAAAACACACAATTTTTTCTTAGTTATCTAAATTAATCGTGTATCTTTGTCAAATCGTTGTCACATTACTAATGTTATTTCCACACGTCTTCTTAAGTTTTGACTTTAGCCTCCGATTTCCTTGAGCCGCCCCTGTTGAAGAAACGCTACGCGCCAATGTGATCTTGAAATCCCAACAACAAGTTCTCGGGAAAGAGATGAAAAAGAGATGAAGAAGAAAACTGAGCTGTGGGAAAAGCAGTTGCAAGAGAAAGCCAAGTCACAACGGAAAAGAGATAAAGAAGCGGCTCGGATTGCCATTGAAAGCATAAAAAGGACGGTTGATATTTTGATGATATATGCAAGCCGAAAGAGAACTCTTGATGATCATCGGTGCTACAAGTTCTTGGTAGTTAAAGAGTTCGCATATTCTAGTCTACTTTTCTAGTGTGGTTTGTTTTTGATTCGTTCTTTATTTTCATGTTATTAGTACTTCGTAGCATAAAGTTGAATAGTGGAGTAAAGATGAGAGGAGATTGGAGACGGCAGTTAGGGAGAGCTAAATATTTAAGCAGTTTAAATTATCGTGAAATGATTACCTCTACCTGAAACGATTGTAATTAAGAGTCTGTAATTTGTGTAATACAAGAACAGTTTTACGTATACTGTTGCATATGTTGTTATTAGTTATCAATTATCAAAGTATGTTTTTCAGAAAATTTTCCCTTAGAATTCACGTTTGAGAGGTTTCGGAGCTTTTTCCCGGTAACATGAACGTTTGGAAAAAGCAATTGTTTCTCATATTAGATGTTGGATATATTAGGAATGCGTATTTAACATGGAATTTGCTAAAAACTTGATATTCACATTTGGTAGAATTCCACGTATCAAAATCATTTCTGAAATTCTTGTTGGGATTTATTTACCCAGTATCACAATATTCTGAAATTGTTGTTGGTACTTTTTTTAGCCATCTTATCAAAATGGTATTATTATATTGATACAAAAATATTCAATTTAGTGATATCGAGTTTTCTTTCCAACTTAATCGGTATCATTGGATGTAAATATATCTTCTTTACACAAATAGCTGGACAGATTCATTATTTACTTTTTCTAACCAGTATACATAAATTATACAATGCACACTTATACTATCAAGCAAACACAACAAAACTTACAAAAGACAATGGCAGCCAAAAAAATCACCTTGTTTCGAAACAGACGGTACCTTACTCAAGTCCTTTACTCATTTAGTTATCCATACAACTAGTTTTGACTCGCTCAAAAATTAAAAGCTCAATCTTTGTTTCCAAATAACTGGAGATATTGAATATTTCGTCGGCTAAACTGCATATGAGCCACACACAACTAGAGATCTGGTTGGTTGCAATGAACTCATTGTGCTTTCGATTACCAAATGTACAGAAAAGAATCTTCGTGCCTTGCATACAAAATGATAACTCAAAACAAAAGGAATGCTAATGTGCTTAAATAACTATAATACAGACTAGATCAACTCTTTATTTCTGCAGAAAGGTAACTAGAATCATGTGCCACGATATATTGCCTTTACCTTGTAATGCCTGCACCTAATGTGGATTTCTCTGTCCTTATCATGCTGAAGTATGTAATTTCAACTCAATTCCTCCACCACGAGTATCCTAACAAGCAAAATCTAGGGAAACCTCCAGCCTTGTGATCTCCCCTTCCGGCTCTTCAAATGGGGACGGGGACTATTCATCCTATTTTTAGTCTCCCGTTCAAGCTTTGCAGTAAATAAATTTCCACGAGGCACCTAAAGCAGCAAACTAGCCCTGAAAGAGCATCCTGATGCATGAAGTTCTTTATCATGCTGCTTCTATTTCACCTGGGAAATTATCAGAATTTAAAAAGGGAAATGTGAGAAGCGCGTCATTATGTTGCTGTTCTCTTTACAAATTTAAAAACTAAACGCAGAAGTTACAAGAAGAAAACCTGGCAGCAGAGATAGCTTTGATCCATGTATGATAGATTCCATATTCTTTCACTCTGCAACAGATCAATCGAGGATTACCTCAAGTTTCTCAACTATTCCTAGATTAGTAGAGAACACTGAAGAAAGAACTTGACAGCATAAAAAGTAAAACAATACGTATCCATGTCAAGGAACTTCTAATAACATACAAAAGCAGAAATTGGAAACCCTAGTAAGTTGCATGGTGAAGATTTTCACCAAAGCTCAGATAACATGTAAGAAAATAGATGTTGGACCTGACTCAAACCCGAAAGCTAGTCATGAGATGAGGATTGCCCAAAAACCATATACGGAGACAACACACTCCCTCAACCAATATGAGACATTTTAAGTTAAGTTAACACAAGCTAGATGGAATTTTGTCTATGTTTTCAAGTTAAAACAAACACGACCTCACATAGTTGACTAAAATGTTACAATTGAATTAACTAAATACTATCCGAATAGTGAATTAAAACCAACTTAACTATCATCGTTTACACATATAACCAAAGCTAGATGATCACGATTTATAGATTTTCGGCAGAATGACAAACTACCTAACATTCTAATAAGAAAATGATCAACTTGTGTTGGCTACACAAACATCCTTTAGCTATCCCTCAAAATCATAGTTTGCTAAAATCAAACATATGTAAGGGTTCTACCATCTAGATGATCATGATTCATAGATTTTCCACATAACAACAAATTACCTAGAATTCTAATAAGAAAATGATCGACTTTTGTTGGCTATACAAACATCCTTTGGTTATCCATCAACATCACAGTTTGCTGAAATCAAAACACAGTAGGAGTTAAGGCACCAAGTTTTAGTTGGATAGCATCATAACAACTCCAGCTTCCCATGTGACCCAATTTAATACCACACTTTAGAGAACCAACCATCACAAACACTAGTTATTGGACCAATCAGACCTTATCGGATATTGTTGAATCGTGCGACAATCTTATCAAAAGCTTAAGTTGTAAGAGAGAACACACTTTTAGTTACTTAATTATATCTTTCAACAGATATCCTCCTACAATTTTCTAGAAATAGGTTCCTTCGGGATCAGGAAACCAAGATGGATTCCTATAGTGGTCCCGAAAACTTTTCGGTGCCCAGACGATGAACAAAAAGCACTCTAGTAAAACAACATCTTGATTAGTGGGCAGCCCCATTCATATATAACGTAATTAAGGATAGCTCTAATCAAGGCCCAAACAAAAAAAAGGGCCTAACTACATCCCCAACAGAAATAACACCAACATTATATGTGTCGACTAGAACAGTTTGCATCTGTAAGTCACTTACAAGAATATATCATCAGCATCAATTTCTTGCAACAAATTGACGAAAAAGCGGAATCCATCTGGACTAACATCTCTACACAGAAGTCCTGCAAAATAAGATCACAACTTAAGCACCGCTTTCTATGAGTTAAGAATTAAAATCTGCAGAACATACCTTTGGCCTCGGCTGCAAGAAGGTGCTCTTTGGCCATAGCTGGAGCAATTCCCAGAGTCATTGCAGCATCACTAGCAGTGATCCCTGCTCGTAAAGTGTCCGGTGTGGTAACCAAAGATCTTATTCTAGTAAATACCTGCAGTTGACAGCAGAATTGTGGGCATTAAGGGCATAGAAACAAATATTGTACACCAGGTCTATTTAATAGGAAATTGAAAAAGGACAAACTTCAAATGACTATTAAAAAGTCTATTTTGTAGTTGTCCTCTTAGTTATGTTAAGGAGAGGTACTCTTGGAATTCATTTAGGAGCCCTTTAAGGCATGAAAAGTCGTCATCACCTATGGATCTCAGTATGACATAAGTGATCATATAGTGATGTCAAAACCGTGTCCTACGTTATGAATAACTAACTACTTCTTGAGATTGCTAAGTAACTTATTTTCTCCTGGTTGAACAATTATTTCCTTAAATCATCCTCTTGCTGGCTGGCTGTCCAATGTAGAATGGTCTAAGACCTTCTCGTACCCCATTAGATGCCATTGGACATTATATAATTTAAGATCCTCTAAGCTTTGGGGTTCACACATGTAATAACATATGGACTTACAAGTGTGAGTTTGATTTTTTTAGGTTGTCTATGATACCACAATGAAAGAAGAGAGAAGTTCTGGGGACTAGGTTTTCAGAACAGCCAGCATAGTGGCCAGAAGAAACAGTGCCGTAAGAATGACCACTGAGAAAAGGTTGGTGCCGCAGAATGGTCAGGGGAGGAAGCATCATGCCAGCGGAGCAGATACTGAAAAACACGAGTGGTGCTACTGGAATGGTCACCAGAAAGGTAAGTTGCTCAGACACGGGTGCGGGTGTCCAACATGGGTGCTAGTCTAGAGGTTGCATCCTTCGAGATGTAAATTCTAAGATTAGGGTACGGATCCTAATACATATATAGGTGCGGGGATCCGGCGAAAAATTTCAAAAAAATAAAAATATCTCGAAATTTTGTGGAATACTTAGGTATAGCTTGTAAAGTGTGGATTTCCTTTTTATTCTCACGTTGTAGATAAGTAAATGATTGATTTTTTTAGATAAGGTATACTATTTTCTTCAGAATTACCCTAGTTTTGGTTCTGATTTTGGGAATCAAATTGTATCTCGTCTCGAATTTCTCTGTTCGTCGTGGTCAAAGTACCCAAAACTGTTTGACCAAATCCGGTACGGATCCCATACCCACACCCATACTAGTGTCATGTCGACACGGTTGCGGCACCTAAACTGCCGTGTCGGAGCAACTTAGACAGAAAGGACAAGAATTATAAACTTATGAAGACTATTGACCTGGAAGACGGCTTTTGACAGGCGGCACAAGGCTGTCCATCAGTAGGAAGTAGCCACTTATATCTCTATCAAGATTGTTAAGTCTTCAATACCATCAGGAAGAATCTAGAATCTAAGTGTTAAACCGATAACCTTAAAGCAATGCATAGTGTGTCCCAAGACCTATAAATTCCTCTCTAAATGCCATTATTACCGTTATGTTATACTATTATATAACTCAACACTCCCAACACCCTATCAGTCTAATACGTTAAACAAGACCTGTTTACCTATTCAGTATAATAGTCTCCTTCAGCAATCACTTGTATAGCAATTCTACTTTTGACGATGGATTAAATATCCATAAGTTGCATCATGAATACAACCAGAAATCTACTACTTGAGAGAGAATGATTGATGACGGATATAATCACAAGAACTCGGTATGACCAAAATACAGAAGGAGGACAATGGCAGTGAATTACTTAGAAGACTATGGACCCTTACATTAAGTTCAAGAAATGCAATAGGTAGTAGTAAGAGAGATTAGAGAAGACCAGAGAAAGCAAGAACTGTATTGGCAAAAAGGAGATGCTCAAGTGAAGTCAATATGAAAGTTTTACCTCATCATCACTGTGGCTTTTGCTCTGGATGACCATGACATCACTATCAAACTTCCGAAGCATAACTGGTCTGTAGAAGTAAAATGTTATTTCCTTTTTCTTTAATGCAAGCAAGTAGTCGAGACGAACCCCAAGTTACATTTAACCTATGGTTAAGAACTAGTTCAAGGATGAATGTGCGTGTGTGCATATTGAGAGAGAGAATATGTGTGTGCGCATGTGTGCCTGCAGCACGGGTATGTGTAAGGAATAAAGGAAGGCATACACGTCAAACTTCTCCCAGAGAGAACAAGCACGCAGCAAATCGTCGGGTGATATCAATTCTGTAAAATCGCAACAATAAAGTTATAACAGGTTGTAATGATACTACCAAAAGAATGAAGAAGAAACTAAAGTGACAGACTTTTGAGTTGAAGACTAATTAGTCAATAGGTCAGGTGCACACAAGTTGGACCGGACACCACGGTTATAAAAAAAATGGAAAAGGAAAAAGTTTCCAGGATTACCTGTTCCACGAGCCCGATTGAAAAGGCAATAGATGTCAATGAGATTAATCATTCCTCCAGATCTCTCCAGTGGAATTTTGACAAAATCTGCCAACTAAGTACCAACATATTATTATTTTTTTGCAAATTTACTGAAAAGCAAATATTTGCAAGATTACAAGCCAATTAGAAATATTACATTTCCTTGACAAGAATAATAAAGAAATTAAGAAACTGATAAGTCTGCTTTCTTCTACCCATGCCTCATATGTGCTTGTGAAGATTGGTGTCCCCTTTAGTTGCGATTACAATCAAGGCTAGCTCGTAAAAATGGATACACTTACTAGTATAGCTACCAGGAAGAAATACCTGCCGAGATAATTGTTGATGATACAAAGCACCAGCAGATTCTTTAGTAACTGGAGACACAATACCAACACTTAATAGTAATTCTTGCATCTCTTCTTTGGTGCCAATTTCCTCATCATTTGTGCCAGTGGCCTGACTAGTTGAGCCAGAGAGAAGCTTTGTTCTCATTCTCTCAGCTAGTATCACCATTTCTTTAGCCTTACCCTGTGTATGAGAATTATATCAACTGATAGTGGAGAGATGCACACGTAACAAACTTATCTACCACTAGTATTATAATTGAAACCAAATTATACACAGACGAACTCTTTCACCCTTCATTTCAGAAACTAAATGGCATATGATCCAACTTGTAAACACTAGAAGTTCCTTCAGTGCTTTACATATCAGAAAACTAAAAAAGGGAAGTTCTATTCGTGCCAAGACAAGAGCATGTTAAAGCTAATACCAAAATTTATCGCACTCATTTGTTACATATCCACAAAATCACTGAAATCAACACATAAAATAACTAAATAAAATAAAAAGACATGAACTTTAGCATACCATGAGAGCATTCAAATCCTGAAAAGCATCCTGCAAGCTCTTATCAGTATTCTCCCACATCTCCTGCTCTTTCCTCAATATCCCAGCTACACCAACAACCGGCATCCTCACTGCAAATCCTCCATTACCACCCGACACATGACCCGAACCCGAAGCCTCCGGCCCAGATTTTACTACCCCATCTTCCCAACCTTTCCTTCTCCATGCTTCCCAAAACTTCTCTAAAAACGAATCAATGTCCGATTTACCCCTAAAAATCAAAGTAATTACAACCATCGTCCCTTTAAGTGAAGCCTGAAATCGGAATCTAGGGCTTGCAAACATTGACTTGATAGATTTTTTGAGGGGGAAGATGTGAGTGACGCCTGAAAGAGGGATGAATACGGCAATAGGAGGGGAGGTGGTGGATGATTCTTGTACCCAAATAAGACGGTGAGTTGTGAGAATGAGGAGGCCCGATTTAAGGTGAGGGAAGTTTGGGTTTTCTTCAGAAAGGAGGTCTGCGGAGGAGAGAAGGCTGCACTCTACTTCGCCTGGTTCAAGCACCGGCCGCCCACTTCCGGTTAGCTTTGCCGCCGGTAGCCAATTCCCGGCCATACTGCCAAACTGAATAAACTTGAACTCAGACCAAACTCACTTCGGTCGTTTGCTTCCAAACAAGTAGTAATAGTAATAATAATAATATTCCAAATGCTTATGTACGTGTTTTTACGGTTAGCAGGTTGTAGTGTACTTGCTTGGAATTGATTCAGCTTTTAGAAAATGTTTTCCTTTTTTGTTCCAAGTCAACTACAAGCCATGTTAAAAGTTGTAGCTCATTAAAAAATAGAATGTTATATTTTTAATGTTTTATAGCCACATAATAGTATGGTATACCTTTTTAAGGTCTCACAACCATACAAATATTATGGTATATATAAAATTATAAGTTCTAAAAAAAAAATTATTTCTTCAATTTTGTGTAGAGACAAATTATGGCAAACAAATTGGAATACATGGACAAAATAATCATAGCTTAAAAAATTTAATGGAAATTATTGTGTAAAGTAGAAGAATGGATGATGTTGTCATTTTTAACTAAAACGAACAAATACTATAAAAATTAAATAAAAATAATAATTGATAGTTATGATAAAATGACTAAGCACTTAAGAATGTGATCAAAAATAGATAAAAAGTTAATTATTGGTGATAAGAATTATTTGGTACATTTACCGATGGAAAGTAGTAGATACCTAATGAAAAATAATAATAACAAAATGACATATAAGATGCCTCATCAAATTAATGATACATAAAAAATAAGGTGTTGAAATTTGAATACACAATTGTAATTACCAAAAGGAGATTATGAGAATGAATAAATAGTAGAGCATTGAAACGGGAATGTAAATAAAGATCAATTTTTTATTATGCGAATTTTTTTTGTTTTTGTTTTGAAAACCTAATATCCATTGGCTATCTATAGATGAGTTTACTTTTTTACTTGATTGGGGTGTATGTACATATTTTTTTAATCTATCAAGCTAATGTGATTTATGTTTACCTCGGAAAACGTCAGTAACAATTAAAGATGATTTGTGATTTTAAAGATATGTGATTTATTCTAATACCAGCGAATATATAAGTTATATTAAGTTAAAGTAGTAAGAATTGATGAACCAAACCAGCTTGTTGGGGCAATGGGGACCTCGAGCTCGATTATCTCGGGGGCCTCGAGGTGAGCTAAGAGTAAGCAAAGTATGGACAATAAAGTAAAAATAATAATGCTGAAGAACAATTAGGGAGCACGGCTAACGAGAAAAGCAGAGTAGAATATTCTATTGCAGTGATTCAGATCATTTTTTACCAAGATTGGGGTCCCCTTTATATGGAAGGGGAAAACCCTAATATAGTACAATTCCAATTATGACAAAGAATTCTATTGGTACAGCTGTATAACAACCTAGTACGGACTTGTACCATTTCGTAAAAATCTTATCCCTTAATTTATACCCTGATCCACATATCCTTGAGAAATTCCCGCTCTTTCTTGCGTGTCATCGAAAATGTACTGCCCCCGAGGCAATGGCGGATCTTCGAATTGCTTCCCTGAGGTATGCATTTTCCAATCAGATCTAGACTTTACTTCGTGCTACCCTGAACTCGAGCCCGGGGTTCCATTCAGACCTCGAAATCGAGCTCTTCGATTTCGGTCGTATACAGATAGTCCCCGCGTTTCTTAGAATGAAATGATATGAAACGTTTTGAATTCCCGAAGTCCTTTATGATGGCATCACTCTTATGACGTAAGCGTTGAAATGACCGAAGCGTCCCGTCGGTTCTCTTCCCCAAAAGCATTAAATACGCGTCAGAGCCGGTCGGCCATCAATATTAATGAATCGCCGTTGCCTTCCTCTATATATACTTATTTTCTCTTCTCATTAAGGACTTTTCCATCTTGCAACGCCTTTCTCTTCTATACATTTCCTTTTTTACTTCCAGTTCCTCCGCCGTATCGATTCAAAACCTTGCAGGCTTATTCATTTCTATCTTCTTCTTCTAAAGAACTGATGGCAAAAACTTCCAAATCCGTTCCTCAGAAAGAGGGAAACTCCACTTCCACTTCCCGTCCGGCCGGTGGTACGTCGTCAGCGCTTCATGAGCTCGTACCGGGCAGATTTTCCTTACAAAAGGACTTTATAGTCGAGAACCGTCCCGACGTCCCCGGCCGTTGAGAGCATGCCTCGAGTTACATAAGGTCAATTGAGGAAGGACACCTCGATGCTGTGAGGAGAGAGTGTAATTGGGAAGAGAAGGTCGTTCTGCAAATACCTTATCGTGGGGAGGACATCACAACTTACGTAGGAGGATTCCTGAGTGTGTATACATACCCCTTTACGTTGGGTCCCCTCGACCCATTCGTGCTTGAATTTTGCCAAAGATATCAAGTGACCCTAGGCCAGATTCATCCGTCCTTTTGGCGCATCGTAATAATGATGAGGTTCTTCACCGAAAAAGTCGGGCTCGAGTTCACCCTCAGCCACCTCATCAGATTATATCGGCCTCAGTATTTCCGAGGTTTAATCAAACTTCAACGCCGATCGACCAAGTCCTTCTTCGCCGGTAATGACGAAGGCAAGGATCGAGGTTGGATGAGCCGGTTCATCCGGGTGAGGACTGTCAATATTATTCCCGAGGAGTTCTTGCCGTTCCCCGAGGAATGGAATTTTGAACGTGAGTGGAATTCTTTTAATTCTTTTCCATAGATTTTTGCTAAACTTCGCGTACTTACTCATTTCCCTTCTCTGCAGCGGTTTCGTGGATGCCTAATGTGATCCTCAACCTTGAGGAATGGGTTCGCAAACTAGCTGCTACTTCACCATACAACAAACACAAATGGCGGGACTTGTCGAAAGGCAAGTGGGAAGCGAAACACCACGGTACATGTCATAATGTTTCTTTCTTTATTAAGAATGTCTTTCTTCATGTGACTTGATTTCTTTATCGTAGGTATTGGTGAGTTCTTCGAAATGAGGTCGCCCTCTTCCGGGAGGAAGTAGGGCCTTCGGCTCTAAAGTCAAAGGAGGATAACAAGAGAAAAAGGTCCTTGAAGAGAGAGGACACTCAAAGGCAAGCAGGGCCCGCTCGGAGGCGTAAGAAAAGTGTCTTCATCAATGTGGATGTTGACTCGGCCCACCAATTCATAGACGATGATGGTGACGAGATGGAGGGCTCGACACTGGTCCGAATCAGGAAATCTTCTGTGGTTGTCAAGCCTACTGAGATCGGGGCCCCTAGCCTCGAGTAAGGAATTTTAAAAGAAAAGGGGGATGAAGGCCCTGCATCATCTGATGCGGAAACTGCTTCTCAGACTTATGGAAATGCTCCAAAGGAAACGAGCTTCGAAGCTCCTCTGCCCGAGCAGAGCGCCTCGGGTGATCTCCCCGGGGCCATGACAGCAGGTCATTCTTCATCGTTTCCGGTCTTCTCCGAGGATACCATCAGGGATGCTCAGAACGTGAAGACATCTGAGCTCGGCGGAGTACCGAGTGAAAATGACCCCTTCCAGGGTTACTTTGCCGGGGTCGATGGGGCCGACCCCGCGGATGCGATCTCAATCTTCGAGGAGGCTCAGCGTCTCTGCTTAATTGTAAGTTTTTAGTGGCATTGATATTTCTCCAATGCCATACTTTTCTTCATTTGTCTTATAGATCATTCCTTTTCTTTGTGTAGGCATTCGACAAATTGAAGACCGAATTGCGTCACTGTGAAGTTGAATTACGTAGGGCTTCAAATGAGGAGAAAACCCTTGGGCTTCTCCTTGACAAAAAGGAGGAAGAACTGAAGCATCTTCGATCGGAGTTGACCAAAGCTCGTGATACGAGAATGAGTTACAAAAGCAGGTAACCTCTGTTCTGGAAAAAATATAGGCTACCTCTCCCGTTTTCGGAGGCTAATACTTCATGTCTCAGCTGCATCAAAAGCTAGACGTGATTGGGCAGCTCCAGGGCGAGGTCGATCAAGTCCGAGCCGAGTGCAATGAATGGAAGGCGAAGATGGACGCCCCCGTAGTGGCTAAAAATGATGCACTAGTGAAGGTATCAGCCCTCGAGGTTCAATTGCGGAATGCTCAAGGGAGCAGCTTGATTCAAGCTGGCAGAATAGTCGAGCTCGAGGCTGGTCTTGTGAAGGCCAAGGCCGAAGCTGTGGAAGCTAGGGCCGAGGGCCGAGGGCCGAGAAATACAAGCTAAGGCTGACAAGACGGTGGCCATCTATTTGAAGGTACTGCCGATGCTCAGATGGAGTTGAGGGAGGTTTCCGATCGAGAGAAAAGAAACAGCGACTCTGCCCGACTCCGATCCCGGAGGGAGACCCTCGAAGAGGTTCACGCTAAGGGCTTTGATCTTTTCGATGAGATAAAGCAAGCTAAGGCTGATGCCAAATTTGTCCTTTCCTCCAATGATGACGATGACGTCGAAGAAGATAAAGAGAAGGAGGCTGTCGAAGAAGCTACCCCCGAGGAAGGGGCTGGTCCCGGGAAAGCGACAGGTCGGGGGGGGGTGGGGGTA